AAAACCTAAGGTAAATTTAGGGAGGAATATTCTCTATCCACTGTGGGGACCAGAGAGAAAACACATAATTAAACATTGCTTGCAAACATGTACAAACATAAATATCCTTAAACTATCAGGATAAAAACATGTAAACAATCAATGCAGCGATGAACAGCAACTCTTCAGTCCTGTTGTCACTTCATCCTCTCATGGAACACTTCTTCTCTTGGAATACCATGAGAGAAAAAGAAAACTCGATCCCACTTGGACCGGTCTTAAAAAGAAAGGACCATCCATCTGTTGGTATTTTGTGTTTTTTACCATAGGCACCTGTGGCCTTTAATCTGGAATGACTGTTAATTCTGTTCCTTGCCTCTAGTGGCAGACAAGGCTCTATATTCACTACTACCAGAAGGTGGCAGTGTAGGAGCATTTTGCAAAGATTCATTGAGAATACAGGGCAACTGAATTTCCATTTATTTTCAGGGAGCCTTTTAGGATATTTGGATTTGCCACCCTCCTCCAGTTAGCTTATTGAGGGCAACACCGAGAGTTTGTTTTCTTTGTCTTGATACTTAAAGTTTGCAATAAATAACAATAACATGGAAGAAGACTGATGGGGCACCAGCTCTTTCTCGTGCATTGGTTGAAAACCAGCTGCCTCCCGCACTTTCCTGGGAATTTTAGCACATTTTGGAGTGGGGAGAGGGATGGGTTCTCCCCCCTCCAACAAGTCCAAATTTTCACACAACAGATTTCTCGCTGGGCAAGAGACCAGGGCTCTTCACCATGTTCTTCCTCCTTGGCAAGCTTTTTTTCATTCACCCCCATTAGTGAAATTCTCAAAGCATTCTCTGTTTCGTTTTCTTTTCTCTTCCCACATAACTAAATCTGGTGTAGAGTGAGATACATTACCGCGGGCTACACCTTAGGGTAAACAAATTCCATCTTTTCAAGAGGGCAGAACTTGGGGGGAGGAGAAAGTTGGCTTTGCTGAGTCAAACCCTTCTTTCAGGGAGTGGAGGAGGGTGACATCATGTTTGGGGAGGCCCACCTCCTCCTCAAAGCAGAAAAACCCTGGTTCATTCTCTACACTTTCCCCAGCAGTGTTAATGTAAAAATCTAAAGCTCTTTGTCTCTGGATGAGCTGCTTCAGACAATGCTTTTCAGGTTTGGGGCTAACTTCTGTGCATTCAATTCTCAGTCTGCCCTGAGGCAGGCTATTGTTTCAGCCTCCTAGGCAATTTGTAACTCAGTTAGCTCTTTCTGTTGCTACTGGGCAACATATTTCTCTCTTCTTGCATCTCTGAGTCCAGCCTCCACCCATATGAATAGCAGACCTTTTTCTCTACTACGGGTTTTTTTTGGTCTTTTCTTTTGCCAAAATTCGGATTTTCTCAGCAACTTACTGCAGATAGCGCCCGATTTCCTCAGCCCACATCTCCTGTTTGGGGCTGGACAAGCTTTATAAGCTTTTAGTAACTTTACCAGTGCAGAGCAGTTAAGGATAATTTTTACCCGTGTTTCCATTACTTTTCTGATGGAGAATATCGGTTTAGACTGAAAATTAATTTCTCCTTTTTTCCCCAACTAGCGGTTATCTCCATATAAAATGAAGATAACCTCTTCATCACCTCAAGAGTACCCTGCTTCACTGCACCAATTAAACTGTAAGGCCCCAAAAACTCACTTGATGAGACTCTTAAAAGGGCTTTCAGGATTCTTTATGTCCTCTGAGTTAGTTGCACGGGAGAAATACCAACAAGATAATTTTTAGTAAATAGTTTAAACTACAATCATATTCTACAGTGGGTGCCTTGCTTTTTTTTTTTCAAGTCAGGTTAATTATGTTAGTGTAATATATGAGTAATGTAATAGTTGGCTCTCACAATTAAGAGATAGTTATTATGTAGATGTATAGTAATGTCATTGTAATATGTCACTCCCATAGATCCCTCTCCCCCTTGTAATAGCCTTAGTAGTCAGGACATTTAGAGAAGGCCAGCTTATTACCAGGAGGAGCAGTGTAACAACACCTGACCTCCAATCAAGATGTAAGAAAGTAATCTCCACCAATAGACAGCAGAGAAAAGTAGACTGACAAAACTTTGGGAGGGGCTACGGATATAAAAGGCAGAGCATCCCTTTTGTAGACAATCACGTGGCTGGTATTCACGGGAGGGGGGGGGGCTCCCAGCGCTGAAAACTTCTTCCTTAGTCAGTCTTTTGTTGTAATTTTTTGTTAAGGTTTAATAAACCTTTGAAATTTTAAAAATGAGCAGTCGTTTGTCACAAATGGAGGCTCGTGCTGGGAGATAAAACCTCTTCTCTGTGGCCCGGGAGATTTCAGACTAATAGTGTGTCCCTGCCGATTTTGGCAAATCGAACGAACTCTCCTGTGACCATCGGTGATTGCAGGTCAGCATCCCAGAGACAACAAAGACTGGATAATGAAAAAGAAGAGAGAGAAGAAGAGGAAAACCCCCTGAAAACTGCAGATCTATAGGATTGTGAGTACTAGTGCAAGTAAGAGCTGAGAGTATGCTTGACGTGTGAGTAAAGTAGTGTGCTTGGGGTGGGTATGAGACTTAGAAAACCTCATAACTATTTTTGGACACACTGTAATTTCCATAATCCCAATGTATAAAGGTCAGCTTCAGACAATACAGGGGATTTGTCCTGGTCTGTTGAAGCTTGAAGATATTGGATGGTCGGAAGAAAAACGACGGCAGGGCGCGTGGTGGGAGGAGAGCGGGGACCCTGTGGCTGGCGGGATGCGTGGGGAAGAGGGAGTGAGAAGCTACAGGCGGGATGCATAGAAGAGAAAAGTAGGGACCCCGTGGCTGGCAGGACGCGTGAGATTTGTAGGGGCTCAAAAGCACCTGGGGATTGCCAGGTTGAGAGTCACTGTGTTGGAGTGATGGCGGCGCTCGTCATTCTGTGGAGGCTGTGTGGCTGCTCCACGTGGAGCAGTGGCGCGCTCAGGGTGCTGGGCTTCTGGTGCGCACTCAACATAATGGCTTCCAGAGCTTACTGGCCGAGACTTAGGGGGAAGTGCTACCACTAGTGGCAGTGACTGGGGAGTGCTGGGTGCAGGGGTGTCCGAACTACCCAGTGCTGCGGTGCTTCCCGGGCGGAGGGACCACGGAGGCTGTGCGTGCACGCCTGCTTGCAGTGGCTCGGGGACGTCGAGCAGTGGAGCCCAACGGGGCTGACCAAGTAGCTAGCAGAGAGCCCAGGGGCGGGGGAGGCTGGGGGTGGTGCTGGTGGGACCGCCACTTGGGGAAAAACTGAGTGAGTGGGATTTTCTGAGTGGAGACCATGGGGAAGGAGGCGGGCGGGGTTCCCTCCCGACCCGCCGCGGTGGTCCCCAACGCGCCGGTGCAGGGGAGGCCAGGGACGCAAGTCTGCACAAAGTAGCGCTCACAGCCACGCTGGGCATTGCAAGTTTCCAGTGCATGCTGACCCAGCAAAGGCGGGGGGAGGCGGCAGAAGCCCAGAGCAGTCACACAACCAATCCCGCAGGTGGTGGGGGGAGCTGCTGGTGGCAAGTGGGGGCACCTGGCAGGGCGAACCGCATGCACAGGTTTTCCAGACAGGAGCCACTGGCAGGGGCCAGTCTGTGTAAGTGGCAGCCAGCAGAAGCCAAACATAGTAGCTCCCAGCGCTCACTGCTTCAGTGGGAGCAGCAGTGGAGCCAGACACGTTTCGCACAAGGGTCTGCCGAGAGTCAGGGACTGGCTTGGCTGTGTTGGGGTCTCAGAGACCACAGAGGTCACCAGCCCAGCGGCGCTGTGAGGCACAGTCTGCATAAAAAGCCACTCGAGAGAAGCCATGTGCATGGGGTTTCCAGGCCGAGAGCTATGGGCAAGGGGTGGTCTGTGCAAGGAGCGGCTAGTAGAGACCCAGCGTAGCGACTCCCGGTGCTTGCTGCCCTGGCAGAGGCAGTGGCAGCATCGGGCATGATTCGCGCAGCACTGCCGAAAGTCAGGGGCGGGCTTAGTTGTGCAAAGGTCTTGTAAACCGCAGAAGTCGTTGGCCCAGAGGCGGCAGAGGGCTGCCAGCGGCGATTGGGATGACTTTTGCTGAGTGCGGGGGCGCCCGACAAAACAAACCCAATAACACAGAATATCCAAGCCGAGTGCCGCGCAGGCCCACATAGGCGGTAGTGGGCTGGGGGTCGGGAGTTGTCTCTGTTAGGCGGGGGTCTCGGGGGCCCGCATGAGTGGCCTTCAGCAGTTGCTCCAAACCGAGAAGCACCAGAGAGTTGAACTAATACAGAACTAGTGAATAGCTCCTTTCCCAGTTATCGGAATCTGTGGTATTGATGATTCCGAGATTGTAGAAAGTCTCTGTCTTTCTGCCCCGCTGCCAAAGAAGAAGGCATAATTCGTCTGTGCTGGTTTCAAGGTTGTTTATTCTTGCTTATCCATAACATGTTCTGCTGCCCTGCCGCAGGTCTGTCCTGCAGGGCAGCGTGCGGGGCTCTGCCCCTCAGTGGGATGTTACAAACATTATATACCAGAAACTGCGTGTGCTATATTTACAATAATGTACCAATATCTATCATCTACGTTGAACAGCGTGTCCCCAGCCTAAGCCAATAGAAAAATGCCAACACTACAGGGAAACATGGAGGGCATGGAGAAGGAGAAAAAGGACAAGACACTCCCAATTTCCTCCATCTTGTCCCCTTTGGACCCCTAATCTAGAGTCCTAAAATTTTACTTTTGCACCCGTGCCACACTTAATTATTACTTATATCAAACACTCAGAGCTTGTAATTCATCCTGTAAGATATTGAAAACTCTTTTCCATGGACAGAGATCACAGACAGTGTCTCTCGGGGCTCTGTACAGGGGGGTTTCTGACCCCCTGCCAGGGTCCCAGGCCTTCCAGGGCAGCCAGAGGGAAGCCCTGGATTCCCACATCTCCCTTTCCTTTTTGAACCAAGAACACTTCTTTGACATCTTTGTCCATGGTCTGCCGCATGCATTGGAGCAAGCACAGTACAAGCATCAGAAGAATTACAATACCCTATAATTATATACAAGTGTTTTCCAAATCTCCTTCTACAACTGTGAAGGGTAAAACAAATTGAACCCACCATCCATGTAAGATTTAATTTTTCTTTTTCTGCAGGTGTGTTTTCTCTTATGATACCTCTTCAAATTTATCACTCGTGTCCATGTGTTCACAATAGATGTTCAATTGCTGCTTTGTTCTCATTTCATATTGTTAGCTAACAAATTATTTGATGCAAAAGAAACGGCATGGGCATCCTTACTCTGCCCACAACCTCTTTTGATCCAGCTGTACCAAGACTCTTTTTGATGCCACCTGCTGTGAAAGCAGACCCATTCCAGATTTCCAAGCTGTTTTTCTAGGTGTTAACATTATCATTGTCACATTCTGGATCACTTCATTCATTAGTTTTTTTTTCTTCCTCTCTTATCAAAGTGTTAACAAAAGATCTCCCAATGCTGCATGGACCACCCTTGATTTTTGCAGGGATAGCAGGCCAAATTCTGTCCCCGCAAATTCAAAAACATCCCTTTTGGTAGAATGGTTGGATTTTGGAGGGATGGTTTGCTCATCATTTTTGGTGTAATTACACCAGGATGATGCATTTCTGTAAAAGAGCTGGTTTGGCGTGATATCTATCATGTGGTTATCTTTCTCTGTCACTCCCAATGGATTGAATTTGATACAGAATTTCATTTTTGTTGACCCAAAGATGTCCAATTCGTGGGGTTCAAAGTGAGCCACTGGAAGGAACTGTGCCCAAACATGCCATCCGTCCACAGCATCCAAAAAAGACTTCAGAACCTTTGGAGGGATGCTCTTTGGGATTGGCCATTCCTCCAACTGGCACACCTACCAAGCATGTTGAGAGTGGTTTCCCCGGTTTTGAATGGGTCAGGCAAATGCTGTCCAGACCCGCTGCTTTTGCCAAAGTCTCCCACATATTTTCCCTTGGTTGTCTCATGGGAAAATCTGTTCTATTTCCCAAGGCAAAAGGCAAAAGAATGAAGCACATGAACACTGTCTGAACCCCATGTCCATGTCCCCACTCTCTGTGAGAAACTCCACAATGCAGCAACACCCAAATAACACTTGATTCCTTAAAAAAACCTCAAGTCTCTGAGTTTCCAATCGTTGTCTGATGACACGTCTGCACCGTCGTTGTTCGCCTTCGTCTGTGTGCTTGCCTTTCTGCTTCTCGGGTCCACATCCACTTGCGTCTGCACCCGATAAGGGTTCATGTGCCTTGCTGACACCCACTTCAGTCCTTGCCCTGTGGAAACACAAGCAAAACCCTTGCCCAAATTATTAATGCAAATGGGCCTTCGATTTGTCCTGACTCTGGGTTTCTGACCAAAACTAAAGGATTTTCCCTTAGCTTTGCTTGTGTGCTGTTTGTAAAATGTCTGACAATTGGTGGAATGGGCTCTGAGAAAGAACCATTTAAAAAATTCAACACATACAGAGCTTTGTCCAACCGCATATAAGGTGTTGCGCCTGCCTCCCCCCTTTTCTGTTCATCCAAGAGGGATTTCAGGGTGTGATGTGTTCTTTCAATGCTTGCTTGACCTGAGGGAGAATGAGGAATACCGAAAACTTGTTTGACTCCCCATTTTTTCAGAAATTTGTCAAGCACCTTGCCTGTGTAAATTGGATCATCTGTTTTTATTTCTTGTGGCACCCCTAATGATGCAAATGCTTGTAAAAAATGTCTGCAGGCATGTTCTGCGGTTTCTCGTGTATGTAATGATGCAAAAATTGCCCCTGAAAATGTGTCAACTGAAACATGAATGTATTTGAGCCTCCCAAAGGATGCATATTTTGTGACATCAGTTTGCCACAGCTGAACACTCTGCAATCCCTTCGGATTGTCTGCTCCTGGTGACTGCACAAGCTGACAATCTGGGCAAGCACTGATGATTTCCTCTGTCTGACTTTTAGAAAGGCGAAAGGATTCCATCAATGTTTGTGCATTTTGGTGAAAAAATGCATGGCTCAATTTTGCTTGCTCGAAAATGTCTGGCAGTGTCTGTGATTTTGTCTGCATGAGCATTCCCTTCTGCTAAAAACCCTGGAAGTGAAGAATGTGTTCTGATGTGTATAACAAAATATTTGTGTTCTCTTTTTTCTAGGATTGTTCTCATGCATGACAAATATGAATATAAAATTTCATTGTCTGTGTGTTTTAAAAGTGATCCCTCTAATTGTTTGACCACATTTGCAACATATGCTGAATCTGTGATCAGACTGAGGGGTTCCTGAAATAATTGAAAAACCCTGACTACTGCTGCCAATTCTACGATTTGTGGTGAACCATGTACTATTTTAATATCTGATTCCCATTTCCCCGTTTTTGGATTTTGCCATGTGGTTACTGATTTGTGAGTTTTCCCTCAACCCTCAGTGAACACTGTCACCCCTTCCACTGGCTCCTGACTTATTTTTGGTTTTTCTCTAAAACTTACTTTTGCATTTAACATTCTGTGAGCTGGAAAATGAACTGTGCAAACTCCTGGATACCCTAACAACGTGATTGAAAAATCTTGTGACTTTTGGATTGTCCACTCAAAATATTTTTTCTTTAAAAGTAAATGAATGATTGAGAAATCTTTGCCTGATATTGCCAGCAACCTGGTCCTTGCCTTAATAATGATCTAAGCTATCATCTCTAAATCTGTAAGAATTGTTTTTGAAGGCCTGTAAGCTTAAAAAAAACCCCAAAAAAACAAAAAACCATTTTCTAACTCCTGTGAAAACACTAACATAATCCTTGCTCAGAGTTATTAATCTGAATGATTTTTTAGTTTGGTCTGTCCAGTGTCTGGGACTCTTCTCACCTTTCTCTCGATGATCAGCAAAATGGGGTCTACAAAAGTATTATTTCAAAAGATTAAAATATACAAAATCCTCAACCTCTTTCCAGCCTTATTTTAGGCACTTCTTCACCTTTTTTCTTTTTTCATTCTTTCTCTTCTTCTCTTTTGAAACAGGAATGTTGAAATATAAAACATAATATAAAATAAGACAAAATACCTCAATGATAGAATGCATAAAACCTATCAAAATTGATTACAATTTAAGAAAGTTCAAAAGAAAGAGATTCTAAATAACATATATAAAATTGAACAATGCATAATCATTAGAAACCTTGTGCCAGCATTTCAGAGTCTGCAGACAGCTGAAACATTTGTTTCCAGTGAAAACCCTTGGCATCCCTTCCCGGGCAGGGCTTGACAAGTTTCACCTCAAAGCTGTGTCAGCTGTCACATTTGTAGGATTGAATTGGTGGATAAAAATGATCTACATATCATTCATTTTTGTGCAGAAACCTCTGGATTTTGCTGGCAAAACTCATCCATCCAAGTTAAAATCAGGGCCTGGCCAGGATGCAAACTTTAAAATGGAGTGATGTCCTCTAACATATTATCTAAAACAAAGCTTGTACCAACAATACATATATGATACTTAAAACACAACAACCTATTATAATATTTTCACATAAAATAAACACTTGAAGTTCAAGCTGATAAATTGATCAAATGACACAAGGATTCATTTTTTCGTGAAACTTCTTTGAGGGAAAAGGATGTCAATTAGAAGAAATCAAAAGATTTACAGTTGACAAGAGGCTGTCAAAATGCTTCAGGCATCTCCCTCTGAAATCTTGTGAAAAACATTTGAGAATGATAGAAAACAGAAATGCAATGATTCCACTCACAAGAGATATAAAAACAAACCTGAAGGTCCACCTAGGAAAATGCACAATACTGTTAAAATCCAAAATGAGACTTCAGAATGGCATGCAACCTGGATAAGATTACATAAAGGACAATAAAACATACGAAAATTTGCTATGAAAAAACAAAGCACAAAGCTTCACCTGATAACATAATAAGATTTCTTAACAATAACATTTATAAAACACTTAAATAGTTAAAAATAAAAGAAAGGATTTGAAAACCAACACCCTTTGTATCATTATACAAAGAAATAACAGACTGTAAAACTGACTATTAAACAATGAAATCAATCTCAGAAAACTCAAAATAAATTCCTTTAAAACTCTTATATACTGATAAGCTTATAATAAAACAGAAAAGACTAAAACAAAACCAAGGATACAACAAATTGTTTCTTCTCCTTAAATCAATGTTCATTATTGTTTCGTGAGTTCTTTCAGTCGAAATCTTCCCATCCTTAAAGAAAAACAACTAAACTTTGTTAGCTAAATAAACTTGATCTTTGAAAAACTTAAAATAATTTTTGAATCAAACAGTACTTAAAGTCAATATATAAAAAATCATGGTAAAGAATCCCTAAATTATATTAGCTTTATTAAATCCATATGTATCAAATTAATAATATATAAATTCATTATCGATTAAACTTTTATAAAACTTAACTTTATCAGGGCCCAAACCTAAAATAAACTTATAGTGATATATTCTAATTAAACAATACTTAACTTAAACTCAAACCAGACTATATAAAAATCAATTCCATAATTAATGTTAAAATGCAAGCTATCTTTAACCTTAATACAATAAATTACTAAAAATTCATGCTATTTAATTTTATATTTCAATTTTCATTATGATAAGATGTCTCTTTTTCACATTGTGTCCCACACAATCATACCCTGTCACCACACTGGCTGGGTGCAGCTGCTGACCAGGTTCCGTCGACCTAACTGAAAAGTCTGTGGTTGATGCTTAGAAACATTGGAGAAATTTGGAGAAACCCTTATGTTGCAATGATTTCAAAGGGCGACTTGACTGAGTCTCATTTTTTGGGGGAATGTTGGAATCTAATCCCTCAGCATTACTGCAAGATATTTGATGCAATGGATGTGCTCGTAAAAAGTTGTTTGCTTTGGCTGCTGTGGTTTCTGGGCACTGCCGTGTATTTGTTGTTAATGTTTGGATGTGCACTGCAGTTGAACCATGTGGCGACAGGCTCACCGATGCCGTGGAAAAAATCCCGGCATCGCTGCTCTGCCGCTGCCACAATGCAGCCCCGCCTCTACCTACCTCGGCATGGCTGCGCCACTTTCTTGCTCGCCCCCTCCCCGCTCACGCCCGGCGTCGGTTGTGCCGAGCCTGCGCCTGAAATCTACCTCTCCGAACTCAGCGCCCACATTCTCATTCACATCCGCGTTCGTTTTGACTACCGCAAATGCATGCACAGCCTGGATTCACTCCCTCTCTCTCTGCATCGCCATGGGAACGAAAGGAGGAACCCCCGCCCTGGCTGCGCCCCGCCTGCACTGCCTCCAGCGCGGCCGCGGGCTTGGGAACGCCTCCTCCCTTCTCCCAGCTGGGCTCCGCGCCGCCTCGGTCCCGCTGTGGGTCCCCCCCCCCGGGTCCGTGGTAGTGCCGGCACCCAGTGCAGTTCCAGGCTCCGCTGACGTCATCAGCGCGCGCTTGCTGTGTCCCGCCGCTCCTGCGGCCCCGGGCCACGTCCCGCCAGGCCCCGCGCCGCTCGGGTCTCCCCCCGCGGCCGCAGCGCAGTCTCTGGACGGCTGGCTGGCGGCTGCCGCCGCCCCCGAAGCCGTCTATGCCTGTGCCGCTCTTTCGAAATACGAGAAATCCTGCGCTCTGATTTCCGGGTTTCGCTCTACCATGACGCGCATGCGTGCGGCCAGAGCTGCCAGGAAGGAGGCGTCTTGCTCCTTCTCCGCCGCTCTCTCTGGAGTCGCGGCTGCCACGGACAGGGTTCGGGCGGCTGCCTCTGCGGCTTCATGGGCTCCTGCCACCGAACGCGTCACTGGGCGCTCCAGACGTAAAACCGCCGCGCCCGCACTCACCGCCGCCTTCTTTTCCCGCCTCGTTCCCGCTGCCCCCTCCGCTGTCGTCTGCACCGCGGGCTGTTTCGAACTCCCTGCCTGCGCAGTTTCGAGAGTGCTCTCCTCTCCCTCTTCCCTCTGCTCTGCACTCACGTCTGCACTCTCCCCCGCCGGAGCCGCCGCCGCCGCAGCCCCCCCCCCCCCCCCCCCCCCCCCCCGCCACGAGTTCGGACTCGGGCAATGCCCGGTCCCTTCCCCCAACGAGGGCTGCGACTGTGCCTGGCTTATCTATCACCGTCTGGGGAGTTTCTGCATTGGAGCAGCTTAGGGACTGAGGTTCAAGGGAGTCTGAGGAACAGTGGGAACCCAAAGACACAGGGCGTGATGAGACACCATCCCCCTGATCCTCCATGGGAGGCAATCCCGCTTCCCCTGGGTCTTTGGTGAGGAAAGCTGCCCCAAGCTGCTGGCTGGGCAATCTTCCTCCTTGGGCTCCTGTAGGAGCCTTAGCTGTCTGGTTTGGAATGCCGCATTGTGAAAGTGACTCTAATATTGTCGTTGATGAAGGCAAAAGTTTCACGGCAATCTTATGTTTTTTTTTGTGGCTCGGTAACATAGCTGCTTATTGATCTCTAGCCAAAAATATGACTCAAACAAAAGATGTGCCTCTGTGTGCAGGTGATTACACCGCACCCACAATAACAAAGCTTTTAGCTCATTTGGAGCTATCTACCGGATGGGAAAAAGTCTTGCCCTGTAGGGCTGAAAAAATTTTGGTCTGTCCTTGGGAGGATCCCTTCCCCATGTTCTTAATTTGGACCGTTCTGACCAAAAGTTGAGTCAGCACGAGGTCAGTCCGGAGATGGCACTGTTCATCGTCCAGCAGGTCACAGGCGAGGAATTCCAGGTGCGCTTCTGGTTTTGATCCTCCTGGCTGTCCTCCAGGCGATCTGTCTTGGTGAAGGTCAGGATGTTTTGTCTTGAGCTTTCTGCTCCGTCTCTTTGGTGAGTCCTCAGAGAGTGTGTGTGCTTTTCCGGTGAAGGTTGGAGGTCGTTTGATGGATTGACTTCTTGCCCTTTCAGTTCGCCGATCCAGGGACGCCATTTGTCAGAATCTGTGGTATTGATGATTCCAAGATTGTAGAAAGTCTCTTTCTTTCTGCCCCGTTGCCAAAGAAGAAGCCATAATTCGTCTGTGCTGGTTATCAAGGTTGTTTATTCTTGCTTATCTATAACATGTTCTGCTGCCCTGCCGCAGGTCTGTCCTGCAGGGCAGCGTGTGGGGCTCTGCCCCTCAGTGGGATGTTACAAACATTATATACCAGAAACTGCGTGTGCTATATTTACAATAATGTGCCAATATCTATCATCTACATTGAACAGCGTGTCCCCAGCCTAAACCAATAGAAAAATGCCAACACTACAGTGAAACATGGAGGGCATGAAGAAGGAGAAGAAGGACAAGACACACCCAATTTCCTCCATCTTGTCCCCTTTGGACCCCTAATCTAGAGTCCTAAAATTTTACTTTTGCACCCGTGCCACACTAATTATTACTCATATCAAACACTTAGAGCTTGTAATTCATCCTGTAAGATTGAAAACTCTTTTCCATGGACAGAGATCAGAGACAGTGTCTCTCGGGGCTCTGTACAGGGGGGTTTCTGACCCCCTGCCAGGGTCCCAGGCCTTCCAGGGCAGCCAGAGTGATGCCCTGGATTCCCACACCCAATCACAGGATTGTGCTTCATCCAGTTCTTACTCCCCAAGGCACATGGAACCCCGCCAATCATGTCTGTCTGTAATAGTGTTGGGAAGTCTCTCCCCTCTGTGCTAATGCCTTCACATAGAACCACAGAATAGTTTGCGTTAGAAGGGGCCTTGAAGCTTATCTTATTCCACCCCCTGCCATGGGCACTCTGCCATGGGCAGGGATGCCTTCCTCTATCCTGGGTTGCTCCAAGCCCTGTCCAACCTGACCTTTAAAATTCCAGGGATGAGGCAGCCACAACCTCCCTGGGCAACATCTGCTCAGTGTTTTTCTAGAAGTGATGTTCCCCCCCCTCACACAGCCCCCTGAATAATCAGGCTAGCTCAGAGATCAGAGGCTGTGAGGGGAGGAATATCAGGAGAAGGCAAAGATTTCCAAAAGAGGCTCTTACCCCGAGATAAGTTGGTTCAGCTCTCTTTATTCTGTGATGTCCTTGTGGAGAGTGGGGCAAAAGAGAACGAACAGGAAATGTCAGGGGTCTATATAGACTTTGTAGAGGGTGGGCTTTCCTGGCTCTCCGCCAACCCCGTTGGGGCAGGAAGGAGGGATCCAGGGTTATCTTGATCAGAGTCACAGGGTCCCGGGGAAGGGGAAACAGAATGCCCATGAACTCACTGTAACACCTCCCCCTTATTTGTTAAACAAGGTTACAGGAATTCACTGGGCTCAATTCAACCCTGAGTATGGGTTTCCCACCACCTACAGTTGGTGGTGTAGTCAGGCCTCCCCAGGTTAGCCAACTCTATGTGGTTGACTTCTGAGGTAGAAGGTATGAGACCCTTGATAGCTTTGAAAATCAAGTGACGCAGGATCCCAAACGCCAAGGTTACAAGGAACAAAATTACAAATAGTAACAAAATTGTTCTACCAATAGATGTCCACCACCCCGTGAATCGCCAGCCCTTAAACATTCTTTTCAGCATTCGCAGGATGACAACTTGGATGGGGTTCATCACAGGGTTGGGTGGGAGGTAGGTTTTCTCTAAAAGGGAAAAACAAACATTTTAAGAACATGTTTAAGTTTCTGTCTCTGCCGGAAGGAATTCACGCTTGGGAATATTTATCTTCTTTCATCCGGCGGTGTCTTCTCTTTGAAGCATCAGCTACTTGCTTCCTGTCCCCTTTTGTCTGACCTGGATTCTTGGGGACAAAAGGTTTCACCCACTTCTGGGGAATCCACCGAGGGCCTGAGGGAGTAGCTACACACGCATAGCCACGACCCCAGGTTGCAAGTCCATAGGGACCCTTTGTTGGGAAGGGTAGATAAATATGATTAAGAACCACAATGGTACAGCCAGGACGAATATAACGCCCCCTACTGGCTGGACAATTACCCTCACCTACAGCGGGGTCCAAGAGCCAAATGGACTCTTCCATCTCACCCCCCAGAATGTATGGTTCACCCCACATCTGTAACCCTCCCCTGAACCATCAGGTGCCTGTGACCCCATTGGCCCAGGTCCTGTTCCAGCCCACCCTGGAGCCCCCTTTGATAAAGGCTCTCCGGGGGGCTGGACGTTCTCTTGGATCTTCCCTTCTCCTCCTGGAGAGTCCTCTGGGAGTCCCTGCTCCCCTCTCTGTCTCTCCCCTCCCCCATCACCCGAGGCCCAGCCACGTGCTGTGTATAGCAGCTCGAGGCAGGGTCACAATGCATCCTGAATAAACCTCATCCCCCAAGAGCAACCAAAGAGATCTCGCTTGAATCTGTCCGTGGAATACAAATATACGTCGTTACAACCCTTGGTTTCCCAAGTTTCTGGATCCCTAATCAAGACCAGGGGATGTTGAGACAATTTGAACTGGTTGCCACTGTTAAAGTGACGTACAACAGGTGGACTCATGTTTTCAAATGAACAGTTCTGAAAATTGATGGTAAACATGGCTTTACAGAGCTTCTCTCGTGGAGACATCCACGGAGCTGAACTGTTTTGTTTCTTCAATACCTGTTTGAGTGTCTGGTGTGCATGCTCGACTACAGCTTGACCTGTGGGGGAGTGGGCAATGCCAGTCTTATGTTCCACTCCCCACTGCTGGAGAAATTCCAGGAACTCCTTGGATACATATGCTGGGCCATTATCTGTTTTGATCGTTTTTGGCACCCCCAATACTGAAAATGCTTGCACTAGGTGTTGTTTGACATGTGCAGCCTTTTGTCCTATATGAGCAGAGGCATACACTGCCCCTGAGAATGTGTCCACGCTTACATGAACGCATTCAAGGCAACCAAAACTCTGAATGTGTGTGATGTCTGTCTGCCATACCTCACAGCTACTAAGGCCTCTGGGGTTTACCCCCATGCCCAACGATGGAAGGGCCTGGAGCTGGCAATTAGGACAGTTGGTCACAATGGCTCGAGCCTGACTCCGTTTTATCTGGAACTGTCGAATCAAACCTGGCACATTCTGATGGTAGTGCTGGTGACTCAGTTTCGCCTGTTGGAAAACATCAGGGAGACGTGCTTTTTTGACTGGTGCAGCAAGGGAGTCTGCTTTGCGATTCCCCTCTGCAATCTCACCTGGCAAATCAGTGTGCGACCTCACATGCATCACAAAGAATGGATGCTCTCGGTGAGAGATTAAATAAATCAGCCTTTAGAGCAATCTGAAGAGATGTTCATTCTCTATTTCTTTGAGCACAGCCTGCTCCGCCCTGGACACTACACCTGCCACATAGGCAGAGTCTGTCACCAAGTTGAATGGCTCAGAAAACTTCTCAAAAGCTCTTACCACTGCAGCCAGTTCAGCCACCTGGGGGGATCCCTCTACAAGCTCAACATCAGCTTCCCAATGCTGAGTCTGTGGATTTCTCCAAGTCATCACCGACTTGTGGGAAGCCCCAGAGGCATCAGTGAACACTGTGAGAGCATTGAGTGCCCTCCGGCTCCTTTTCTCTTGAGGAATAAGGTGGAATTCCTCATTGAACAACTTGTGAGACAGGGCATGGACTGACATTTGTCCCCTGTAGCTGTCCAGAGATAATTGGAGACTGGCGCTGCTCTGGAGCAAATGCTCAAACATCCCTTTGGTGAATCTCTCAGGAGAGTTCCTTCCCTCCTCAGAAAGCCTTACTGGAAGGTGGATACATGCAAAGTCACACCCTGCTAATTCGCACAACCTCACCCTGGCCTTCTGAATCAGCTTTGCTATCAGCTCTTGTGGCCTAGTGATGGTCTTGGATTTTTGGTGAGAGAGGAAAACCCATTCTATAATTAAGAGTGGATCATTCTGCCCCTTGATCCATTGGAAAATCAACCCATGCAGGTGTGGCAGCTTTCCTAGAACAATGAACTGGAAAGGCACGTTTGGGTCACACTGATGTGCCTGCCTTTCTGACAAGGCCTTCTGTACCTTTTCGATTGCTGTCTTTGCCTCTGGGATCAGTTCCCTGGGGGAGGCCAGCTCCC